TGAGGTGCAAGATTTTTCGGAATTCATCGGTGCTTTATGGGGTGTGAAACGTTTACATTCGAACGGGTTTGCGACTTAGGTGGGGAAGAAGTTGAGGTTACGGACGCGTGCTTCTCGTTCCACGGAATTGTGTTTAATGGATGGCTAATTTAACCTGTAGAGGACGGGAAGCCTATTTTTAGGCTCCAGAGGGGTCGTTTATTTTTTGTAGTATGACACTATGACGAATATGTAAAGTTAGGGGAAGCTTGCCGAGTTTAGACGATCGCCTAGGTTAGACCACTTGTCATGTGCAAGTAATTTGCGCCGTATGAGAGTCCAAATGTGTTGCATATATACTAAGTTAGTTAATGCAATCATGACGTAGAAATTGCTTACACCTAACAAGTGGTTCAACCTAGGCGATGGTTCAAATTCAGCAATCATTCCCTACTTATAGGATATAAGTAATGTACTTTAAAAATAAGATATAAAAGTACAAAAAGTTTTAACTCAGAATATAAGTCATAAGAAAACTTGCCCGTCCTCTAAATGTTAAGATTAGCAGGGTTGAGAATGAAGATAATTCTGACCTTTTTTTTTTATTAACAAAACAGAAACATTCCCTTGACTCGATCTTATCGAACCATCATGTTCGTTAGACTCTTCGTTCCAGTCGTTTTTACGGCTCTCAAGTGACACACGAGCAGAGACCTGCCATACGTCTAGTCGCAGTCAGTGAGCCCGAAGGGTTAATGAAGTAAACGAGTCTACGTGTACGGGACGCATCAAGATCGACCCAGTTCTAGATAGTAATAAGTCGAGGAAGTGGAACGGATCTGTCGGATAACGTATCGGTGAAATGAGTCTCTCATAGCAGCCGACCACGTCCGTACACACGCGCCTTCTCTTAAATTCTGCTCTATCCCCTCCTTCGCTATCGAATAAACGAGAGTTCGTAGGGTACGGCTCGTTCTAGTTCCACTTAACTTGTTACCCAAGGAAACGTTAATTAACTCTTTCATCGTATTTCACTTCATCTACCGGCGATTTTTAATCAGTTTACCTATTCATTTATCGACTCTTATCTACACGGTGGTCCAATAACACTGTTTAATCAGTTTACCTATTCATTTATCGACTCTTATCTACACGGTGGTCCAATAACTCTGTTCACCTGGAATGTCGTTATTTTCAGAGGTAGGGAAAAACGTTCCTCACAAAAGTTATACGTTATAGTGATAATTTTGTTGCAAATGGAAGGTTTTCGGCGATTTCAAGCTCGCCTCTATTCTGTTATAATGACATGCTATTCTTCTTTTTATTCCTAGTGGAATAGTGGACACATCACTTCGAGTACTTTCTATGATGAAAGACCTGTTGCTTTGTTCCTTTATTTATTGTTCATTGACTTTGTATTAGCAGTCGTTGAAATCCCCTGAACACCCTCTGCTCTATCAGCAATAAAAAAAAGTACGACAAGCAGTTTAAGAAAAAAGGTGGTGACCTTGAAATTTCCGAAAACTCTCCAACTCCAAAGAAATTGTTACTGCCATATTATGGGCACCACTGTACCACCCAACTTTTTTCAGTAAATTTTTCTATATCCCTAAAAGTAACGGAGGTATTCCAGGTGAACAGAGTTATTCCGCCACACTTTTTCCGGTAAAATTTTCTACGAATTATGTTCATTTCCTCTCTAATTGGACACGAATAGGCGACGACGATGGAAAAATCACTCGGTTAAAACAGGTGAAAGCAATTCGAATCTTGTCGCGTCAAACGTACGCTTATTTAAACGTCGGTCCAGTGAATAATTTTCAATTAAAGAGGAATCCCTTTGAAATACGCGTTTCGTCGCCGCGGGCAATGCTGGATCGCGACTAGCCGCGCGTCCTGTTCTGAATTAATGCGACCAATGCAAATCATTTCGCGTGTAAAGCAGGAAGCTGTTAATGTCCACGCCGCCGGGTTAGTTACGATCATTCGGATGAAGCGGTCGCCGGTGAAAATTTATGACGGGCGACACCGTCGACAGACGCGTTATGCTCCTTGCGGCAGCGTCTTCGTTCCCCGTGACGATCACGTGAACGTTCCTATCAATCAACCGGATAATGTCCTCCAGGGCACCATTCGTTTCTCGAACTGTTGCATTTTGGCGGGCTCGTTGAATTTAACGAGGTTGATAAAAATCGGCGTTCTAAAAAAAGGGCGGTGTCGACTGTTTCTGAATTGTGGGATTTTATGCACTGGTGTCGTTTATAAACGCGTGAAGCACCAACGAAACGAAATGTTATGAAAAGTATCGATGAAGTTGATTGTGCCTGAATTGTAGATTGTGTATGCAGTAGGTATATCTCTACGAATATATTTGAAAATGTTCGTATTACGGACGATAAGTAACTAAATCCAAATAATTTAACCCTCAAACTTCAATTTAGTCTGTAAAGGTGCGTATCCATTTGTTGTATATCGTTTTGGCTAGCGTGACTATAAAAAATGTTTACAGTTAAAAAATTATTTCTCACTTTTACAATTATTATCATTGAATTTTTCAGGGAATTCCACCCAAAAGATATGTCGTGAATTCAATTTACTTTCGTTACCTTCGTAAAAAATTCAACATCATAATTCGTACTAGTATAGGGGTTTATGTATGCTGGGGTAGGGTGTGGTTTCTGTGGGTTAAAACTGTTATCTTCGGTAGCGACCCAGACCAGTTAATTCCATCCCCTGGCCGTTTCGTTTCTCGATACAACCCCAATTCGTTGAGCCAACAGCATCCGTCGCGCTCGTTGTTCCCGGAAGCCCCGTTCGTTTTCTCGAGGAAACTTAATTCCACCTGGAGGGGTCTTAAACGCGGTTGAGATTGCTATTCGCGTCGAGAAATATCTCGTTGGTGACGCGAGATGAAGCGAACCTAAGGGAAGGTACGGACGAAACTTACCCCGTCGAAAATTCGATATTCTTTTCGCGCGTCTAGCCAGTATCCGAACTTTCTATTCGCTCGACGGATTTATTCGATCCTGGTGGCCGTAGGACCATTGAATATCAAAACGTCGACGGGATCCTGCATTATCCTGCATTTCCCTCGCTCACCACCTGGTGTGTCAACATGGTTGCACGAAAAGTTTTTCGCTTATTCAAACCGCCGGAAGTGTACTTATCTCTCTCCTCTAAACAACATTCCGCCTTATCGTCGCGTCGTCTAACAATCCCGAGGACTAGCTTTGCTTATGAGCTATTAAACGCCGTTATGACCTTGCTGGTAGTTCCAAGACGGTTTATGCCAGTCGTAAAATTTATCTAAGGGCGCCACTAACGTGGATTTCGAATTGCCCGCTTACCAACCCCCTTGTTTAGTTCTATACAGAACTATATCCGAACGTCGTGAAAAGCACCTCCGTTCCGCATCCCGCCATTTTCTCCCTGCTCCCTCTTCGTCGCTGCAACACCACGAGAAACTCGCCGAGGACTATACGTCGCGGACATCGGCACTCGTAAAATGGGAACGATCGAATAGAGAGCCGAGCGAACTTTTTTATCGGGCCTGGACAAGGATAGACGCGAACGTTCGCGATATTTATCGGAGCCACATAAACAATATGTGTCCCACCGTCGACGTTATTACGGCCGTGTTCTACGTGACTATAATTCAGTCGTAAACTTCGGATAAACTCTTGGAGATTTCCTTTTTCCTTTTTTTTTTTTTTGGCGACGGGATACGCGGAGACTTTATCTGTGACTTTAGCATTTTAGCTACAAATGAAGACCTCTTTCGTCGTCGTCTGGGAACGGCTTAGAAGATCCGAACGAATCGTAAAATATTACAACCATGCACTAACGAGAAATTTCTTTTATCTGTGGATGTGAATACGAGGAGCTCTTTCTTCTCTTGATTCAAATTTAGCTCGTTATCAGGCACAGGGTTATTAATGTTTCTTAATTTATTTCTGTAAACACTGCACTGCATTAAGGTACGCAGGGCGAATTAACGATCACCCTGTGCATTATTAAATGATGATACGTTTCATGTGCGCGGGGAATAGTGACCACAATTACCGAACAATAAATACAAGAATACGATGCAATAAACGGGGGCCAGCAGTAAATGATTCTGATCGATTTTAAGTGTTGTTTTAGTTCCGTAGTCTGTAATTATCGCTGCATTAGAAATACGATGAAATTAATTCCCAACTAATTATGTATCTAACAAGGAGAAGACCCTAAATTAGGGTGGCCGATTTTAATGTAGCTTTTAGGTCATGAAACAGGCTTCTTCCTTTTCACAAATCATCCTCCAATATAGGGTCAGATACTTAAAAGTTTTTTTAATTATTTGCTTTTCAACGTTCATGGTTTTTACGGTGAGGGCCAATACATCCACAAATCTTTGGAAATGACGTATGTGAACTCTAACCGTAACGTTAGAAAATCGTTGTCCCGACGCTACAACACCTACAAATAATCGGGCAATATAACTTCTATTCAAGTCACTTGGAATAACTTTAAACGCACATAACTCGAAAACTTTCGAGTATCTGCCCAGTATGGGACGTGATTTTTAAAGAGGAAGAAATCTACTACAAGTCCTAACAGTTTCATTAAAATCAATGCCCTTAAGGCCCTCTCCTCGTAAATTTAAATACTGCCAACAAAAGAGTACTGTAAGTTGGGGTAATTTTGATTTAATCAGGAGTAACATTGTCCCAAAATCAAAAAATACTTATTTTCGATTTTTCAGCTCTTTTGTAGGTAACTTTTACGTGAAATCTCTTTTCACGTAAAAATCAACTTAATGTATCAATTTACACAACTGCAAAATCGAAAATGACCATTTTCTAATTCGGGACCACGTTACCCCAATTTTAAAAACGTTAAGAAACCTTATAAAGAGATCATTTCCTCTTTCGAGATACCTCTCTAATTCAACATGTCTGTTCACAGGTGCAAAAGGAGAGTACAATAACACGATGCTTCGTTCGATTAATATATCTGTATTTATAAAACAATTTTCTATCCTAGTCGAATGCCTTGAGGTCGGTCAGAAAGACCCTCATCCTAGCTCTGAGCTCGCCAGAGTATCTCAACGCGGACTCGTCCACGGTTATGTCCTCCATAAGCAGCTCACAGTCCAAGTGCTTGTCGTCGCAGGCTCTGTGATGATGTTTCAGCGCGTCGTCGGGATCGAAGTGATGCGCTCGTCTGGTTGATGGGTTCAGTGTCGTCAGCGCGTAATGATTGTGCACGGTCAACGCGCGTCTGGTCGAGACGAAGCTCTTCACCGAGTCGCCTTCCGGCGAAACGGCGGCGGTCCTGGCGGTGTTCAGGTAATCGAAGTCACCTAGGAAGCTGGACGAATCATCGTCGTCGAACACGACAGGGTCGGTTCGATTCCTGGTCTGCAGCTCGGGGAAGAAGTAGACGTTCCGGACGGCGTACGAGGCGAAATCTTTGAAGCTTCTGCCGAGCTTGATCCTCTCGTCGAGCAACAGCTCGTACCAGTTCCGTCTGGTGACAGGGACGATCGCCTCGTCGATGTCGATCGGCACCACGAACTCCGAACGATGAAGATTGTCGTAGAAGCAATGATTGTAGGGTATCAGTTCGAGACGTCTCTTGATCCAGATGTCCTCGCCGAGCAACTGTCTTCTGGCTAGCTTCTCGTTCGGTAGATCGCCGGGCAACGTCAGATTGTACCATCTGATCACGTTCGACTGTTCGTACAGCCTGAGCACCTTCAGCACGTTCACGTGCACGTCGAACACGTAAAAGTAGAACAGCTCCGCGCCCAAGATACGATGCAGCTCGACGAACGCGACCAGCCTGGAGGATATGTCCTCGTCGAAGTCGAGCCCTTTGATGCACAGGGTGAACTGTCTACGTCGTTCCACGCCCTCGTTCCTCGGGCTTATCGCTAAACTATGACTAGCATTCGTGTGGCAGGGTTCAAGCCCGACGTACACTCTGGAAGGCTCGATCGCCGCGTCCGGGGACAATTGACAGCCGACCAGAACGCCCGCGTAGCTGTCCAACGTCTCGCCCCACTCGTCCAACCATATCGTCGAGACCAACGCCTCCACGCTGACTGCTCTGCCTCGGTCCTCCTCCTGGTACCTGGAGCAACGAACGTTTAAAAGGAACAATTCGCCGGTTTAGTCTCATGGGTATCATATCGACGCGGGACAAAGAAATCGCGAAGAGTCCTTGACTCGAACGAGCCTCGTTTCACGCTGGATTTGCATAATCGTCCGAATTATGAAATGGCTGACTGTCTCCGCGACTGTGGGGAGGGGAAAGTTTACGGAGGAACAGACACACACAGAGGTGGAAGTTAGATTAGAACGACGTTCCATGGGTATACCGACTACGAAACTTCGGTCGAATTCGCGAAACGGTGTAATTACGGGAATACGAAAAGGAGAAGTATGCTGGAGTTTCGCGCTCGGTATCCTGTTACGTCGGTACGAAATTCTGTTGCGCAAACGATGATTTTGAAAGTATAATGCGATACAGGGGCACGTTGGGGATGGGCGTGAGTGAATGAACGGAATCGTCTAACGCGTGAATTTGCCCGAAGGAAAGTGTCTCACCAAACGGTGCAGAAAAGGCCAGAGGTCGGCAGTGGTCCACGTTTAACGCCAATCACCCTCAGGCTCGGATAACCGGCCACTCTTAGGTCCAAGTGGGCGCTGTACAGGAATAGCTGTCCGGGGATTGTCTCGAGCCACTTCGCCCCGGCTAACTTGAACGTATTTAATGTCGTCCCGTACGTTCCATTACCGTCGCACTCCTTGGAGGGTCTGTAATCGAGTGCCAATCTCCGCGCCCAGGAGTAAGCCACGATGCTTCTCGTGCCCGGTGGTTCGCCACCTAGAAGAAAATGTGTCGGGTATGGTAGTCAGTTTCACGGGGAGATTGAGACCGGCGATAGTCACGTGACGTACGGTATGGTTTGCTCATTAACGGGGCGACCGCGGAGCCCGCGTGTTCGGGGGAAATTAATTTTCGATGACCACCCCCACCCCTCCCCTGTCAACCTTAAATGAAAATTTGTGTTAGCGTAAGGAGTTGCGGGTACGTGTATCAGTTTAGGTTGAATAGAAAGAAAAGAAACGTTAGATTGTTGGACTTGTTTGATCGATAGTCTACTCGGTTATCTTGCTGAAAAAGCTATTGTTTGATCCAATCACATCGATTAGATAAGTGAAGACGGTATATCTACTGTTTTACGGTGGGAAATGAAAATTTGAAATAGGAGGTAGTTTGTTATATTACCCGACGTAATAAATCAGATTAAAGCGATGTTCTTTTTCATCTTTTATATGTTATTTGAAACTCTGTATCTAGATAATGAACTGTTCATCTCTGCTGGACACTTTTGTCCAGCTTAATATAGACAGAACATATTTTATATTTCGTAACGTGTAGTTATCTCCGTGCAACTATTACGAAAGCTACTATTTGACTAACAGTAAACACTCCACAAGGTAGAACTTTCGTAACATCGCCATAACACCAAATAAAAAGGAAAACGTTTCTGTCTGAATTAATTTGTCCGATACGGTACGTAGAAATATGTTTCCATGCCACGATTATCATTATAATGAAAGACTAACAACGACATTCAATGTTTTCCACAGATCGTATGGATATTACAATTTTCCGGAAGCAATCATCACCAGTCAGTCCCGTAATTTATTCGATCCCTCTATTAATTCTCCAACCGTGAAACTATCTATCGCGGTTCTAATCTCCGTCCATTTTACGACCATTTTATATTCCTTTCTACCGAGCCGTGCATCCACGTCTCATTGAACAGAACGATTAGAATGGCTGCTATCCAGAAGATATCGGTGTTCCGCCCGACCGGATGTAAGGGTTGCGTCATCGACCAAAGCCGGACGCGGTACACCATGAATACGATTGCGTGTTACTTAGCGATCATAGCGCGCCCATGTCCAAATCGTCTATTTCTCGTAATTCCCCATGTGTAATTCCTATTAAACGGTCTCCCTACTGTGATGGATCAAACAAATCGATTTCTTTTGCTTGCACGATCTTGAAGTTCAACTTTCCAAAAACATTAGAAGTTATTAGAATTTAGAAAGTTATTACTCTTGAACGGGATCGGCATGTATATAGAATATAACGGTACATAAAACTTTAAATGTGTTTTTCTAGAAATTACATTTTTGTAAATGGTTGCAAAATTTAAATCTCGCGACTTAAAAAACAAGGAATTATTTGTGCAATAATCGACACATTTCTTTCAAGATACCGCTATTTTCTTATTTTTCAATATTTTTTATTCATCCTAATATGGGTGATAGCCATACTCATAGAGATTAAGAATTTTTTTGTATTTTTGATTTCGAATAACGCGGAATATCATGGCAGCTATGAAGATACATTTTTTTAGACACATCCTGAAACTTGTTTCAAATTTTAATGTCTATTATATTTTTACATGAAAAAAGATTTTACGTATTCCTTTAATATATACAGGGTGTCTCGTGTAAGTGTCGCCATGAAATTTCAAGACCTTCCTTAAACTTTACAGAAAATTGTGTTAAACAAGATTCAAGTACATTTAAGTATGCGTAATTTACGTAAATCAGAGTTCCTCTGTCTGTATACTTTTCAGAGAAATGGATGTTACCTTTTGTTTTTTAAATGAAACCAAAGAATTTTTTATATATTTTTCATTAGGACGAATCGTGATAAATCCAATCTGTTAAAGAACATAAAGTACAATTCACAGTGCGCATAAAGAAACTCTGATTTACGAAAATTGTGCACACTTAAATATAGTTCAACTTTGTCTAATAGAATTTTTTGTAAAGTTCAAGGAAGATCCTAAAATTTCGTGGCGACACTTATGTGGACCACCCTGTACATGAATAAATTTAAATCAGTCTAAAATCGATTTACTGTATAGGTTTTACTACAAAAACTACTGAATTCTACCTAATTTTTGAGCTGTCACAGTAGAAAGCCCCTTCAATTCCAGCGTCACTGACCTCGGTGACGACGAGCGTCGATTAGTTACATATACAGAATTTCAATCGGCCCGTTCGTTAATTGGCCGCCTAATAGCGAGACGCGATTCGCCTGCGCGCGTGTAAATAAACCGAGAGGAAAACTCGTTTCGCGGTGAAGTCACGAACGGCCACCGAGAAGTCACGACCAGCGATGCTTCCCTTCATCCCTTCCGCCCATATTTTCGTTTCTTTTATCCGGCGATCGATTCGTTTAATGAATTCGCTAGTGAATTACGCGACTTACGCACGCATGTGCCACGGCGCGATAAATGCATATGCAAATCCATTGGATGACGGTTTCTGGTTCTGTAATAGGTAGCTTTGCGGTTCGATTCAAGGTTGATCGTGATCGCTTTTATTAATTCGATTATCGGATTATCGATTCGACTATCGAACTCTTGTAATAATGATTCATATAAAATAGTAGTCACAGAAATTGCAGGACCTCAAAAAAATTAATGTCTTTGGTTGATACTCATGTGGACGGTAATCGTCTGTGTTATTGGGCATTAAAGGTTTGATTTATATTAACACTAGAACGTCTAGGGGAGGGAGCTACTTGAACCCACAAATCTAATAGCGTACAATTGTAACTACTTCCTTGGAATGTACAATTGTAACTATTCCTATTCCAAGGAAATCATTATCAAGTTCGTGATTCCACACACGATTGATCATTTCTTTCAGTTTCTTCTTACTTTCAGGCTTCTTAACTGCAATTTCGATACCCAACAATTATTAAAACAATTTAATATGCTGCAAAGTTTGTAATGTATTTACATATTCAACAAACTGAATTTTTAAGGTGTGATGCAATTTTATTGGCCAGTAGGTACTGTAGATACTTTTTGAGGGATGTTGTGTTCTGGTTGGATCTTACGTAAAATATATTGAAAGATAGAGCTAAACACGAAATAACAGAGACAAGGCATTTTTTCTTATACATTTTGTAAACGAATCAAGGAAAAGATAATAATATAAAATTGGGTGTATCGATAAAATATTTGATTCTGAGTACGTTGAGTCACTTTGTAATAAAAACATTGATCTACAAATAATTCTATATCTCTGATATATGGTTACCGTTTATAAAACATCTTGTACACGATACATGTTACTTGCATTACAGCAGGATAAGCTGTCATGTTTTATTCCATGGTACTTGGTACTAGACACCAGTTCTCATAAAAACAACTGTGTCCTTGGCGGAACAAATGTAATGACTTTCTTCGGAATCGTTTAAGTGACCGTTTAAGTCTTAATAATAACTATAGTCCTTGTCACGCAGCCAAACAGTGCTTTGTCCTGGTGATGTTGCCTGTTAGTTCCACGACTGTTAATAGTTCTCTTGAATTAGGTACTTCAATAGCGTTCTATCTTTCCTATTAGTCACAGATACTCAAATCCAGTCATTATGCTACGTGTTCACACGAGAATAACTTTTGAGAATTACTTTCCGCAACAAATTTCTTGTCAACATCCATTTAAGAATAAAGGTCTGAAGTCAATGTGTAGTATTAAGGTGTGAAGATGATCAATTCAGGGCCCTATTCATAAATCAATGACATTACTCAACAAAGACTGATTACTTGTTGCACAAAGAGTATCTACGTCATTGCACTAAACTCTGCTTCGCTATTGCAGAGCCTGTACCGTAGCATATTAACCCTTAACTACAGACGATTCGTCTCAGAGATGAATAATCCAACACCTACTACCTTGCAACACTTTCAATAACCAACTGAACATTATGTCTCTTCATCGTTTCGGAAATAGTGCGCCACTTACGGTCAATTCAAGGTACTCAAAACCCCTAGAGCTTCAAAAATTCAGAAATTTAATCCTTAGATATAATGTAAAAGAAAAGAAAACCTATGCTAAGACGTTTTTACTAGGCAGTAATAGCGAAAGAAAAAACATTCAATTTGCCTCCGAAACCAGTCTACACGTAAACTTCCAAAAAAATCCAACGCATAACGGATCGACAATCTGAATTCACCAGAATAACATTCCCAACATGCTCTATCCTACTCCTATCCCAGCATTTCAAAGCCTCCCTGTGCAGTTTATATCCAGCCGCCATTACGGTCCCATATTTACCAGCTTCTTAGCAATACCAACGAAACAGTAGTATAATTTTCAGATACAAACGAAGCCAATTTCAGTAACCAATTAAACCCCTGTGGCCCTCACCGAGCACACCGTGGGCCGGGAGGGTTCACGCGGGTCGGCATTAATCCTTTGCGTTTCTTCAGTGTAAAACAATTTGTTCTGTTCGAGCGAAACGCCGATCGGCAGCGATCCTTGTGTATGCGTGTGTGTGTGTGTGTGTGTGTGTGTGTGTGTGTGTGCACGTGGTAAGTAGTGTGTCGTTAAAAGTGGTGTCTACGCTTGACCCAACGACCGCGTATTACGTGATGCCGTGGTATCCCGAGCCTCCGGTGCCCTTTAGCCATCGCCGCGCTTCTTCCTTTCCCTCTGTCTCACTCTTGCGCGCGCGCGCGCGCACGCCACGGTTCGCCAGCTTTACGAGAAAGTAGATAGGTATACGCGAATAAATGGACACGGTCGGAGAACGGACGGCGAAAATGTTCGCCAAAGGCATCCGTGCAAGAGGTTTCCCTCGAACGGGTCGGGCCACACCTCTCGTGATCCAAGTCGCGAAATCCTTGGTATCAGGCTGGGAAACATGGGGCGTGTATGTACGAAGGCAGGACGAATCCGGCTGTAAATTATGTCACTTAATGAAGTCGCTACCGCCAAGGAACCGTGTAGAGATTTGAGACCGCGATAAGCCGGGGTCTCAAAGCCTCGCGGTTGATTTACGATATCCGTGTGTCGACTTTTTTTGCACGCGAATTAAGACGATTCTGGACGGGAGGGGGAATAATCGCAGGGGAGATGAAGGGTGTGGGATAGGTAACGGGTCGCTCATTGATCGTTCGTGGGTGGTGAAGGAGAGATGGGGAGATTGAAGGTGTGGAAGAGAAATTTGAGATTTTTTATTGGGTAGAAGTTTGTTCGGGTTTTAAAGGAAACTGTAGATCTAATTATTAGACAATTTTTTGCGTCTGGTCTAGAATGTATGCATCGCTGTTTTTAATCTGTAGAGGACGGGATGACTATTTTTAGGGTCCAGAGGGATTGCTTACTTTTCGTAGTATAGCATATAACAAATATAGGAAAAACGTACCAACGAATGAATGTGTAAGCGATTTTGTAACTATTAAAGTCGAATTTTAAATGATACTAGTATTAATAAATATTTGGTACATGAAAATTAGATTTTTTAATATCTATACGTTTTTGTAATGTATAGATTTCAATTCGAAAGACTGGAAATATGTAATTAATTAAATTAAAAAGAAAAAATTCAGATTTCACCAATACCATTATTTCCATATACTGCACAAATCTTTTTCTGGGTCTGAGTGGCATTTTTGCCCATTCGAAAGTAATAAAGCATTGAGTATCGGAAATGGACTTCCTGGTCTTTCGTTTTCAAATCAATCGTACAGAAGTTTGATTACCTCAATGTTTACGATTTTTTTTTGCACTGCAGAGAAAGATCAGAAAACACAATGATATATAATTTATAAATTATAAAACCGTCGATAATGCAAAAGGTCAACCGATTGTATTCGTCAGTAGAAAGCCAAACGAACTCTTGGTTCAACCCAGTAATTCCACACGCCATCTATGAATTTTCGTTTTGTATTTTTAAAGAAATTATCATTTCTAACAATTTATAGACATAGGTATAGATATTTTTGATCTTGGATTATGTTCGGTTCCCATACTCGATTTACCGGTAATGAGTGAGTAATAGCTCGTTATGTGCTGGGATGCATCAGGATCGCTTTTTGCTCATGGAAATCGACACGGCCAGGTGCAAGTAGGAAATACATCGGTGGGTCAGAAAAATGTGCGGAATTTTCCTATTCTTTGTCGGCCGACGGTAATGCTGGGAAAGTATTCGCGGATAGGAAATAGTGCGAACAGCATATATGGGAATTACACTTTGCGTCTATGAAACTTTACTTCTACTTTTTCAGTGACAAAAACTTGTCAGTTCAGTCACTTTTACGTTTCATGACCTTCTTTCCTGTATAAACGACTTTTCTTATCCAAACTAAATTTTTATACGAACAATGAATACATTAAATGGTCTAAACGAAAAATTTAGAATTCCCATTTTTATTATTAACTTTGTCTTACTATTTGTTTTATGAACAAGTCAGATTCAATAATTTGTGTATCTTGCGCGAATATCTTGGAAAGTTTGACGTATTTTTCTTATCCTTTCCAATACCTAACTCCATTTCCGAACTGTCGTGTTTACTGAATTTGTTGCTTTTCGTGATACCGTACAAAACTATGCCATCGATATCAATCTTAGGGATCCTCACGCGACATGTCCTGTGAAACTTATCCTATTACCTATTCCCATCGAAGTTGCTCATAAGTTTCTCTCAATGTGACATCAGGCACCAATAACACATAATACAAGACAATTTAAGCTTGACATTCTTTTACCAAGTATCTACTAAATAACAAAAGAGCTTCGCAACTAGCAACTTTTTATCCATAAAATAGATTGAATCGATAAAAAATTAAAAAGACAGGTCGACTTAATATCCATACTTACATCTTCGAAATACTAAGATACAACGTATACATCACATAATTTTGAAATAACGATTTAAGGATCTGGGCAGTAAGGGTTAAAAAAATATATTAAAATTACAGTTTGACCGGTAACTGTTGGAAGCTGCTGTACATCCCCTATCGACAAAACACCCACGGCATACTGAACAAGTGAGCTCAGCCATCGTCATGCTAGGGGTTAGCACCCAATCAGTATCCACTAAAAGTATCTAGTCCCTTAATCAGGTACTACTTCAATTCCACCCAGCCAATTTCGCAGAACATTACGAGTAGTGTGTGCCCGGATCACCGTAGGCAGCATCCTCAACATCCTCGCAGCAGCGTCAGAAACACCGACCGGGCGTATCTAATGCCCGTCGCGAAAGGGAGAACAGGGCATTGTTAGGTGCCAAAGGCGCGTTAGCGCGGCTCCACGGTTCGCGAGCCGTTCGGGCCGATAACGAAAGGTCAAGGGGTCGCGCGCTGTTGGAGTCGAGGGAGCTTTGTGGCCGTGGCTCTACGAGCAGAGAGAACACTTGGGCGCTTACCAGGCGTGGGAGGAGGATCCGCCGGTGGATCCGGGAGTCGTGGCGGCGAATCCAACAGAGTCAACACGCACAACGCTGTGACCAACACCGCGGCTAGGCCCACTCTGCATAGTCTCCTGGTGCCCGGGACCGACATAATTCTTTTCTCTCCCCAGTGTTCCTCGCGACAGCGTTTCGTTTCACCGTGGCGCACGTGGACTGGCACCGAAGATATCCATGGTTCTCGCGGCGATTTGCAATTCAAATCTGGATGGTTCCGGACCGTAGGAATCCTGCGGTGATCAATGTTCGTGGAAACGAGCGCGATTCGACGTGAACGGGAGGGATCGTTCGATAACGGAAGTCGAGGTGGGCACTGGTAGCATCGATGGTTTCGCGTCACTTTGCACTGGATCCGCCGCGAATCCTCACGGGACTCCTCGAGAACTCTATTACCTCGTACCGTGCGCATTTATCCGAATCACGGATCTAGAGGAGATTGTGTTCATCGTGGGCGTGAAAACACGGAAAATCGATCCGTATCACGGGTAAACCGGTCCCCGAATCGGGTGGATCGTTTCTCGTTCCACAGTCAATGAGCGTGCAGCGCGGTAGGTTCGCCACGAATTCGTCGCAACGCAGTGTGGGTCGATCACTGTGGAATCAGGCTTTTCTGGTTCCACCGACTGTTTTGCATAACACGCTCCGCTACACTTTCATCGCGCTTGACGCATCTACGCTGCGGGATCTAATGATCGTCCAGCCTTGTGAGCCACCGCGACACACATATATAAATACCGTCAACTGGCGGACTGGTTCACTGGAATCGCGGAAATCTAGATTTATAGGATACGCTGTTACCACGCGTTGGCGTGTAGATCAGGGATTCAGACTCGTGAAATTGAAAGTCCCCACGCGATCCAACCGTCACGAACGTCGTTGATCGACGGATCACCGCAAGAAGACAATTTTAAAGTATCCCGAAAGTCGACGATTATTCCTTGTAAGTAACGCCGTCGTGGAAATCTTCAACGTGATGACGTCGCGGGATGATAAAGTCGATGGTTTTTCTCGCGAATCGCCCGCGTGTTCATCGTGCCACACCGTGAAATCGTCTTGCCAGATCGATCAGGACGGAGGTGCTTCTAGGAAAAGTCGTTCGCCGGTATCGACAGACCGGTATATACTCGAACGCGCGCGCAGCAGCACCAGCAGAAGAGCCTGTTTAATAGTCGCCGTTGCTCACGGCGTGTGGGTTCCCCAAGGTGAGCACACGAATCTGTCTTCCTGGGGCGCGTAAAAACCGACGTGTAAGCAAGCTCTCGACCTCCCACGCGTCGCTCCCGCTTCTTTCCATCGTCCTTTAACGTGGGCCGTGTGGACCATGTATGGTCGTACTGGCAGGCGTTCCAGCTACTCCCGAGATCCTCGATAATCTAATTAACCCGGTATCTCGGTCGCTTTCAGCATTTTTTCGCCGTGTCACCGTTTCTTCTGCATCCCGTCGTCGATCCTGCTCGGTCACCCTCTTCTCCCCCTTGTGGTTCGTCGCCAGTTTTTCTCTACCCTGCTTCACTCCCTAAGTTTTAGCCACGATCTTTGGGGCTACTCGATCGTTGGCAGACGAATCGTCTGGGTCATTCAAGGGGGATCGTTACGATTGGTGTTTGATGAACCTTGGCTGGCGGCATCACGACTACCGTGACCACGTTGAATTCATTCGTCACCTCGAACCATCCCATCCCCAAACCTGGTTTTTCCATCCAGCGCGGTAGAAGTGGACCGTCAGGAGATGATTGCGTTTCTTTGTCGTACGATCCGTTCCTCCTCGTCGCGAATACCGTTTTAATCCGAGGATCGTGAGAACTCGAGCACGCACTATCTATTTACGACGAACGAATTATAGAGAGCAAATGGACCGTTCGGTGTCAACGGTGCCTGGTGTCCTGTTTGCTCCAGCAACGGAGCTGACTCGGCCGGTTACCGGACCGCTTAGCGTTCGAGTCGCTATTTACGTTTCTTCTTAGTCATCGAACGTCTCGTCGTTCTCATTCTTGTTTTTCTCGATCGTCGACGAGGACGATAACTACAGCGCGAATGTCGAGACAAGGAATATCATTTCTTTTGCGCCCTGTGGCTTAAGGAACGGCTAGAGTAACTGGGCGATACGTTTTTACGTGCTTCCATCGATACGATAATCGCGAGAATTGGGATTTATTGAGACTTTCCATATTTGTGGAGTTGTTCTTCTTTTATGTGGTAGAGGTGTTACTTTTAATTACTGGGCTGGTGGAGGAAGTTTGAACAGGAAAACTGATTTTTTCTCGATTGCTACACTGTGCTGCTATAGGGATATTATGTCTGTTCCTTTGTAGAAACAATGCAGGTGAATTTTATTCAATGTTTGCTATTAATCAGTCAAGTTTTTCAATCACTGATAGTTTCGGTAAGCTGCCAGAAGTCTTGGTTTATGGAAACTCTTGGCGTACCCAATTGCTAATCAGCGTCTTACATTGCAGCATCAAAAAAAGGACTGTACCTGTCTCCGAGTTCAAAGCCCAAGATAATCACAAGTTCATAGAAGTCAACATTCGTGTCACCTTCTAATTTATTTCCCCTTGAAAGACAATGATAAGTTTTCAATACCTCTTCCTTCAACTCACTCGACATGCAAAACGAACCGTGTCACTTAATTCCTACAATCAAATTCCTAATATCCCACGTATTCACTCTCGCCGACTGTAATCGCAAAAATCAAATCTCTCATCGATCCCATTCAATATCCAATCTTTCGCCGGTGTCAATACAGCGTATCGATCCCAGAGACAATTGTCTCAATTCCACTGTCACGTCAAGGTCCGGATCAATAATGGCCCTCTTGGCGGGACCGTCCCGAAGTTACCGAAAACACGTGGCCCCTCGGGGTGGCCAACCAAAACAACGCCGGTTCCTCGTGTAACGTCGCGGTGGGCGCACGTGGTCGTCGGATCGACCGAGCGGATTGGTGCAATCTCGCCTGCGCGAGAGTCCGGAGCGTACTGCGTGCGAGCGGGAGGTGAACGCGCCACCAGAGCCCCGTCGTGTCCCGACCGCTTTGGACCCCGGTTCCCTCATCGTGCCTCGCCGATGCTCCTCTGATCCATCCCTACTCACCTCGCCGCACGACCTAGCTCTCCCTGGCTGCGACTCCGCTTTGCTTAACTACTCTTCTCTACTCTTCTTGCGCCCGGATAGTTAGGTTGACTTCGTCTTGTCGCGGAACCACCGGACGTACTGGTCCATTTTAATCTCGGTGGACAAAAATGGAAAAATCGATTTTCTCAGACACGCGTGAAACTAATTGTTTTCTCCTAACATGGATGTATTGTAGTACCTTGTACCATTAACCCTTTCGTTGCGGCAGACTCTAACGTAAACCGTGCATAGAAGACGGCAGATAGCGAACCGTGATCGTTACTTTTGTTTATTTGAGTGGAATTTGTAGTAGGTATTAGTTGGTCCTATAAATTTAGCAAATACATAGATTTGGCCTTCTGACAATTGGGTATGTCATTGATTAGGTGTAACCAATGGTTATAATAAGGTGAAACCTATGGTAGGGTCTATACACATGTGTCACTTTAAGGACACTGATCTTTGTAACGAAGCCGATGGAAGTCAAATCGAGTGCAGACAGTGTCTACGGTCACGAGTGAGCTCAGGAACCTTGCCGTCTCAGATTTCTGTAAAAGAGGGTTGTCCCGAGGTGTGAAGACCGCTTCTGCGGTCACACGAGAAGAAGGGTTTACAAGTTTCCTATATCTTGTCCATCAAGGACTTATTCATGTATCAAGACCGCAGGCTCAGAGGTCGATAGTGATTTTCTTGGGCATTTATGCCGACAATTTGAATAAAAGTTCAAAATCGATCAATAAAGGATATTAATTTTGTAGGATTAAGGGTACGATCAACTTGGTTCTTTCGACCGTAGGCTTTGAGGTTGGCCAACGATTTTTGCAATTCTGTTAACTTCTTCAATCACTCTCCAACACCATTAAACAATTCGTTTCTTCGCATTGTCAATAATTAATATTACTTTATCATTTACTTTCATTTTTATCTATGTCCTTCCCTTGTTATCATGACATTGTACTAAAGGGCATTTAATAAATAAATAAATAAGTACAATAACTTCACTATGAAACATCGATGGAATATTATAACGTACCCAATAACAGAAGTCTTAAAATGACCGATTAACCCACTGACGACCGCGCGTTTCAAGCTTCAGGTGTACGTATCACAACGTTTCAACAAAACAATTAGAATTATAAATGTTATAACTTCAAATTTATACAAAAAATAAAATATTTCACATAGTAGGGCCAAAAATGCCAGATAAACCATGTGACGTGCTTGTACGCTTGTGTTCGTCAGTAGGTTAACGACTGTTCCATGTAACAGTTTAATTACACACGAGCATCCGGTCGATCTGTCACCGAGAAAAGTCAAAAGAAAGATTTAAGCGTATGCAAATTTCGGGACTCGAGCTGCCCGACGCGACAAGGTAATACGCTCGGATCTTCGCCGGTTTTTCTCAGCTGGGACTTGTTTCAGTTCTTTCGCCGGGACTCCCTCCCCGTCCAAGGATTTCCATCGCCCTCCGGCACGTTCTTCTTTCTTCCCGTCGGCCCCGATACCTTGACGTCTCTTTTTTCGTCCCGGTCGACCACCACGAAGCCATCCGCCACTTGTTGTACTTGTCAAAGTGGATTGCATGTTGACCGATGGCTGGACTGCGACGGGCGACGAACGGATGGGAGCGGGTTCATTTAAACCATCCTGACGCCATCCATCCAGGAGACTGCCGCTACGTAGCCCTTTCCCCCGGAAATTGCATCGAACCGGAGGGATTCGTTTGTGCGTTACATCCTCCGCGCGGAGATAGACAGAAAGATAGAACAGTTCATTATAACTAAATGTTGTGGGTGGCTTGGGATTAAATTGAATACGTTGACAGGTGGTTAGAGAAAATTCGCTTTTACAAATGCAACTGCTATTAGAACAAATGTCTTCTATCGGGGGGGAGATTGGTTGTTGGAGAGTCAGTGTCTACGTTGGGTTATTAATTATTGAATGACGAATGAAAGTTGTTTCGTTTGAAGATTGTACACGGCC